CCCAGGCGTCTCCGTCCGAGGCGCGGCGAAGGGGCCCTCAGCCCGGCCCCGGGGCCTGCCCCTGCGGCGCTGGGTGCCGTCGGGGGGCTTCCCTCTCTTCGTCCCCCTGGAGTGTGGCTGTTCCGGAATCCGACGCCCCTCCCGAACCGCCCGCGGCGGGGCCCCTGCCCCAGTGACCCCGGCAGTTCAGGGGGCGGGGGTGCTGGCTGCGCCCCACGGGGGTGACCCAGTCTGACCCTGAAACGGTGCTGCCCAGCCCAGGCCGAGCCCGGTGGGAACCCCGGAAACCTTCACAGCAGACGGGCTTTGTTCAGACCTTCCTCCGTCTTCAGAGTTGCTCCCCAGTTGAAAAACACCGTCTGTTTTGATGACTCGCCTCCCTCCTGCCAGGGTGGTCTTGCCGAGCTGAGCTGACGGAGGGGTGTCGAGAGTAATGCCCGGGGTGTGCTGGCTGCGAACCGCAGCAGTGAGAATTCAGCACGTCGTCTTTGCTATTCAGAAATTACGGTTGTGAGTTGTGGGCTCTTGTTATTTTTTTTTCTTGAATCATTTCAGAAAGTTTTGGATTCCAAATAAGAGAGTGTCTCTTACTAACCACCCTCATTTCATCCCCCGGAAGTTGATAAAGAAAAAATTAGTGGGACTAAAGCCTGTCGAGAATCGAGGAAGTACTTCTTACGTTGAATTTTTTTTTTTTTTTTATGTGTAATCTATGGCTGAGTCCATTTAACTGATGCAACAAGTGAACTTTGCTAGTGACTGTGGCAGAAAATTAGTAGTTTTGCTGTTTCTGCCCTAATAAGGCTCTTTGTTTCAGTCTAGAAGAATTTCTACAAATACTGATGTGCCCATGTTGATGGACATCAGCTAATCATGTAGAGGAGGAAGACTGTTCAGTAGACCTTTAATAGCACGATCAGGTGAAAGTCTGTAGACAAGCGTGCATGGTTTCCATTGTCCAGTGTAGGTACTGGGTCCTCATCGGGTCCAGGTATATTTGGAAACCTTCCTACATAATTCCTCTGCATGCTTCTTTAGGAAAAAAGTTTATTTTTACTGACTCTGGCTCTTACTGCTTTAAGTTGAATACACAGTTTTTCTTTTCTTGCATTCATTTACTACATATTTATTCTATGCCTGTTATGATAGAAAAGTATGTATAAAATGGATCCCCACCCTCTAAATACCCATTTAATCTACTTATGGATATTCCATACCAGTGATATAGGCCTTTAAGCAATTTTATTTTTTCATCATTTTATCATTTCAGACAACAGCCTTGTGGAGATCTGCAGGGACCTGTATAGTTTCTATTTACAATACAGGTGAGTGTTGATGATACTGAGTGTCAAGTGGCAAGTGTGCTCTGTGCTGTTGGGGCTCAGAGAAGGGGAGACCATTCTTGCTTGGGACAGTTAGTGGCTGGATGGTGGTGGTGATGCCAGGAAGAGGAGTGTGCTCTGCTCAGTGTTCGGTTCTGAGGAAGCCTCTTTAATTTGTAAAGCTACTTGAAAATGTTCCGTTTCCCCAATCCTTCCAGTATGCTCATGGTTTTTTCCTCTTGTATTTCCAGAATCCAAGGACCCCTTTCATTGTTTCTGCACTTTGCTTGATGTGAGGCATTATGGCCCCCAAAGACATCATGACAAACACACACGCCAAATCCATCCTCAACTCGATGAACTCCCTCAGGAAGAGCAACACCTTGTGTGACGTGACCCTGAGAGTGGAGCAGAAGGACTTCCCTGCCCATCGGATCGTGCTGGCCGCCTGTAGCGATTACTTCTGTGCCATGTTCACTAGTGAGGTAAGACACATACCCTTGTAGGGGTCTCATTTCACTGAACAAAAATAAAAGTTTGACAGGATGGTGGCGAGTGGGAAGGCTCTGGTTGCAGTCTGCCACTTGCCCATTCTTTAGTTTCTTCACCTCTAATAAGGGATAAAGTAATACACAATAACTTTAGTAACTGCGGAAACACTTAAAATGCAGAGTAAAGATGTTGAATATTCTTAGCAAGTTGAACAGGGGAGAGCACTGTTGAGAAAATTTCCCAGGGCTGAGAGACCCAAGAAAGAGTCTGCAATTCATTATATTGTCACTGTTTATTAAGGGAACTTACACAGATATCCTCCACAGGAGGGATCAGACAAGAAACAGCCAGAATAACAGTAATTATTATTCATAACTTGAAGGATGCTAGACTAAATATACCACCAGCAATTCGCTAATCCAAAAATCGAGTCAACTCAGTATCTTGCAAAATATCAAACAACTCAGTTGTATTTAAACAGGGTTACAGCAAAAGGCCCCTCAAGATGACCTGCATGGTCCTACTTGTCATTACCAGGTGTATTCTAGGGACAGGTAAGTCAGTGCTGGATAGTCCTGGAGGGTCTGGAGCTATAACCCATGAGGTTCCTCTACAAGCATGGATTTTCATTAAAATTTTTCCTTTCACCTTAAAAGCTCATGGACACTATGTTCGTGGTGTGCTCATGGGACTGTCGCATTCTATTCTGTGTTATGTCTGTGTTCGTTTTAATATGAAAGCAGTGTTTTAAATTATTCACTGGTAAAGTTGATATTCCAGGAAGGTGTCACCTCACTGTGTGCTCTTGGGTTACATACAGTTCCTCCCCCGTTGGAACAGCTACAAATATGTGCCTTATTTGCTTTATACAAATAAAACAAAATAGACTATAATTTTTAAAAAGGTGTATATTCAGTTATTATTAGCATCCCTTCAGGCTCTTGATTATGAGATGCTGCCTTTACCTTGGAGAGTTATAACCATCAGTATTTCATACCCTTTGAATTCTCAGCTTTCAGAGAAGGGGAAACCTTACGTCGACATCCAAGGTTTAACTGCCTCTACCATGGAAATTCTGCTGGACTTTGTGTACACAGAAACAGTGCACGTGACGGTGGAGAATGTGCAGGAGCTGCTCCCTGCAGCCTGTCTGCTCCAGCTGAAAGGTACAGGGGTTATATAAACGTAGCCCTGGAATGTTTAAAATGAAGAGTGTCAACTTGCTCATGAGGGTTGTAGAGACAGACTAAGCACCCACATTTATTGCCCCTGCGCAGAGATCGGATGTCAGTAGCAGTAAAAAGGGGCCTCTCCCAGTGTGAGTGTTTGGCTCTTTAGAGGAGATCATTTACACCTGTTCTGTTTTCATAAAAATGGAGGAGATGACAGGTGCATTTTCTTGCATGTATGCACACAATGGTCCTGCAAAGAAACAAGAAACCAATACTGTTCGTTGCCCATATAGAGGTGACAAGATGGCCAGGGGGATATGGAGGCAGGGGACTATTCATGGGAAACCCTTTGTGCCTTTAATTTTCTGAACCATGTAAAGTTTTCACAGAATTAGCGATGGTGCCCCTTCCAGGGCCCAGGCTGCTTCTTGACCTCCAGTGATGTTTCTCTTGTTTTTTGTTGTAATGGTTGAAACAGTGGGATGCTTCTGCATACTGCACAGCTCTGAAATTAAGTTTACACTCTGAACTTCTCAGTCAGAGAAATATAAGGTAGATGTTAGTGTCCTACTTTTTCTTCACTGGAGTCTTAGTAAATTTCATTTTCCTTTTCAATTATAGTTGACATTCAATATTATGTTAGTTTCAAGTGTACAGCATAGTGGTTTCACATTTTCACGTAGAATAGAAATGAGGTACATTATGCTGAATTAGAATTGGTTTTATAGCTTGATCCTCAAGAGTTTTATAGGCAGTTTTGCTTACTTGTGCCCATGTCCTTAGAAGCAACTTGTCTTGTTATTCTTGTTTTAAAGTCAAGCAGAAGCGCTGTAAAGGCCTTGCTAGAGGTCACATAGCCCATAACACAGAAATAGGGTTTGAATCCCTTAAGCATAAAATGTCTATTCTTGTCCTTAGGTGTTGAGCCGGGTTTCTCTGACCCTGCGTAGAGATGTTGCGATCGAGAATAGAGACCAGTGCACACCTGGCCAAGCGTCCTGAAGTACCTGCTGTGTGTGTTTGTCCTAGGTGTGAAGCAAGCCTGCTGTGAGTTCTTAGAAAGTCAGCTGGACCCTTCTAATTGCCTGGGTATCAGGGATTTTGCTGAAACGCACAGTTGTGTTGACCTGATGCAAGCTGCCGAGGTGTTTAGCCAGAAGCACTTTCCTGAAGTGGTGCAGCACGAAGAGTTCATCCTTCTGAGTCGCGGAGAGGTGGAGAAGCTCATCAAGTGCGACGAGATTCAGGTACAGAGTGGGCTTCACACTGCGGCTCCTTCAAGGTGGGGCCACTGCAACACCTGGGAAAGCACGGTGGCGAGACTGTTTCTGTAGCAGGGCTTCTTAGTCAGCTGTCCACATTGGCTCCACAGGCTCCATTAAATGCCCATGGAATTATAGGCAAATCTATTTGCATATTTTTGGGAGGGAGCTCACCACCTTCCTGAGTGAAATATATGGTCCCAGAGAGTTCTCTTTTTTCCCTCTGCTCTCCTTGGATAGTAATAAAAGTGAATTTTAAATTAGTGGTTCTTAGACAGTAGTGGCCCCTCCATGGAAAGGTCCACCCACTCTCAGTCCTTCTGCACTGTCCCCAATGGTCATCAGGGTGGTCCTGACAGACGTCAGCGTGATCAGGTCACTAGCCTGCTTGATACCTTTTCATGGCTCCCAGTTGCTCTCAGAGTGAAATCCAGTCTCTGAGGATGTGACTGGCCCTCGTTTACTTCTGCAGAGAGGCATTTGCCAACCCATCTGTCGAAATTAGGAAATCTCAAGTTTTTCTGCGTTGTGGCCTCTGAGCTTTTCCAGAGCAGTGTGGAGCAAAAAAGCTGGATTGTTCATCTTCTGATTTAACTGAGATCTCCCCACTGAAGGGAACGGTTCACGTCTGACGTGTTCCCCACTGTGTAGCCAGCCTCCAGCACAGGGCCTGGCACTGCATGGGTGTTTGGTAAAGCCATCACACAAGGGAAATCTGAAATATTTTCTGTATCTTCAGTTCTTAGGAACAGTTCACAGATTGGTTTTTTATGTAGGTGCTGTCATACCCTGGAAGGCGTCTGTCGGGCTGGTGGGAGGGACACAGGACTCTACTCCCTATTCTGGTGTCATCTTCAGAAGGTCCTCTTCCAGGGGAATAGCATCAGTTTTTTAGGGTGTCTCACCTTATCCAGTTTGTCATGTAAGCTTAGACCTAGGTTCCCCAGGTGGTTAGTATGAATATTGTCTCAGGTAGCTCCATGCCTGATACTCAGCAGGTGCTGAGGTACTGGTCCACACAGTGATGCGACAAAGCCTGGGGATCATTTGACTGCACTTGGGAATGAAGTTTCCGCAGAGCCAGTGTTGGAAAGGGAAACAGATTCTCCCCCACAGCCCTCAGAGTTTCAGAAATGATAAGAAAAAAGTTCAGGAATGGGGGACATTCTGAAGTAAAAACCAGCCTGTGACTGAGGGTTTATTAGGCACAGTGCATTGTAGATATTTTACCCAACTTGACCATGATCTTTTCCCTGGTGTTAGGGAGTGGTGTGTGAAAAGATTGTTTTCCCAAGAACCTGGCCATTTCTGGAAGATGGGAAATAATGGGGGCAGGGATGGGAACAGGAAGGAAGAAGTAGGCATGACTGCTCTCTGAGCTTGTGAGGCAGTTGGCAGTGCAGAGACCTGTGATGGTATGTTGATAGGTGGATTCTGAAGAGCCGGTCTTTGAGGCCGTCATCACCTGGGTGAAGCACGCCAAGAAGGAGCGTGAAGAGTTGCTGCCCGACCTGCTGCAGTATGTCCGGATGCCCCTGCTGACCCCCAGGTATATCACGGACGTCATAGATGCTGAGGTGAGTCCTGGAGACACCAGGATCCCAAACCTCGGGTATCTCATAGCTCAGTGTTGTGGCCTCAGATTTCTTTAATGATTTCTGGACACCCACAGCGTAGCTTTTCACAGCAGCTTCTGGAGCCACAAGGTTTTAGAAGTTGGTTTCTGTATTAAGAAGTTAATTACAACTTAATCATAAATGTACCATTCACACTTGTAACCATAGCAGCCGCAGCTCCCTGTGCTCTGTGTTCCAGCCTTTCATCCGCTGCAGCCTCCAGTGCAGGGACCTCGTCGACGAAGCAAAGAAGTTCCACCTGAGGCCCGAACTGCGGAGTAAGATGCAGGGGCCCAGGACTCGGGCTCGTCTTGGTGAGCTGGCGTCTTGGCAGAAAGCTACCCCTTGCAGGTGGCGTGATGTAGTTGAAAAGAACGTTCTATAAAAAGTACGGAGACCTTGTTCCAGACCTGGTTTTAATCGCTTGTCCACTGTGTCCTCAGAAAAGTCGCTCCACCGAGCTTTCATTCCCATCCCTTTTACATAACTGTTTGGAGGGTTAGAGCAGGTAAAGCATGAGACAGCACTTTATAAATTCTCAAGTTTTGGTTCAGTATGTTTGGAGCCTATGAATTGGGAATGATTTAGAATGTCATGTAGTACTAGGTGTGTTCCCACCCACCTGTTCCCCTGGGCTTCCCATTCTGGGTGAGGAAGAAAGGAGCAGCGGGGGGGTGTGGACAGCTCAGGGTTGGGCAGGACTTGCAGTGGACTCATATTTGCCATCTGCAGTTTTAATGTCCAGAAATTTAAATTTCAGAGATTCGGATTCTCAGGAGCTAGAGCCTCAAGAAGAAATAATTTCCTATTGGGCAACCTTACAGTGAATTTTCTACTTCACGTGGCTTGTCTGTACCACATCTTAAAACAAGACATCAAAGAACTGTTTCTATGTACACTTCCCCATGAGTGTTTTATCAACCAGGGACAGTGAAGTGACCTACTTTTTCTCCCTTTCTCCTCAGGAGCCAATGAAGTGCTTCTGGTGGTTGGGGGCTTCGGAAGCCAGCAGTCTCCCATCGATGTGGTGGAAAAGTATGACCCCAAGACTCAGGAGTGGAGCTTTTTGCCAGTAAGGGTGGAACCACCCATGGGGAAAGAGCACACATGTCCTCGGACCCTGGCTCTAGATCGTAAATAACCCAGCCCTAAAAATAGGAAAACCTAGTAACTGCATACTGGCCTTTACAACAGTGCCATGCACACAGTAGGTACTCCATAAATAGTATTTGACTATTTACATTAGATTAGACTTCAGAAATGCCAGTGGCCAGTGTCAGCCGCCACCCTGTTTCAGCGCCTTCCTGAGCTGTCTGTACTCCCAGCATACTCCACTGGTCGTGCTCTGTTACCCTGAGTTCGGTGTTGTGTTAAATTGAACTCAAGTTTGTATCTTTCTCAGTGGCATGTCTGTTTCAGTGGTGAATGAATAATAATAGTTCAGAAAACATGGAAATCTTTCGATCAATCCTCCTGACTTTTAGGGTCGTTGAGTCTGGCCCTTTGAGTAGCGGTGCAAGGAAACTTCCACTTGGTGGGGGAATGTTGGTCTGTAGCCCAGAGCCCTGTTGAATAGGAAGGAATGAGGCACATGTGCAGAAGACGATGTTAGAGGGTGTTTGTTCAGTAGGCAGACAGCTGGTGGCCACTGAGGATGAGCCAGTGCCTGAAGGGCAAGTAAAGCAGCGGAGTTGTGGATGGAGGCAGGAAGGAGAGCCAGTGGGAGGCCTGCAGCGCGAGACTGAAACACTGTCCCCTTCTCTCCTGAACCCACAGAGCATCACTCGGAAGAGACGTTACGTGGCCTCCGTGTCTTTGCATGACCGGGTCTATGTCATTGGCGGCTACGATGGCCGTTCCCGCCTCAGCTCAGTGGAATGTCTGGACTACACGGCAGATGAGGATGGCGTCTGGTACTCCGTAGCCCCAATGAATGTCCGGCGTGGCCTTGCCGGCGCCACCACCTTGGGAGGTAGGCTTGGTGTGCAGGGTGGCATTTCACGCTGTTGTGGCTGGACCAGGGCTCACACCTCCCTGTCATCTGGATGGAGCATGAAATTTGGAGGGTGCTGGTGAGGTCAGATGCTCTTGTCTGCTTGGGAAATGACAGAGTTATCAAAGCTGCTCAGTGTTCGCGATGTTTCAGCACTGACTGCGGTGGGTGGGGTTGCAGCATGCTGAGGGGACGTCCGCTCTGGGCTTCTGTGACCTCTGGCTGGTCCTTAAGCACTTTGGGGATTCCGTCTGACCCTACTGTCTGGACACGTCTTGACTGTGCTTTTCCTTATCAATCAGATTTAATTGGCTTATCACGTAAGAAACACTTTGATTTTGCTCCCAAACATTTGGAGGACCTATGGAGAATTGGCAGAGAAAAGAGTGTTAGAAATCTCTCCTCTAAGAGCCTGTGGTTTCTGTTCTGGGCAGATATGATCTACGTCTCCGGAGGCTTTGATGGGAGCAGGCGTCACACCAGCATGGAGCGCTATGACCCTAACATCGACCAGTGGAGCATGCTGGGAGACATGCAGACAGCCCGGGAAGGCGCAGGGCTGGTGGTGGCCGGTGGAGCGATCTACTGTCTAGGTGTTGAGCCTGGGAGGCAGGGATCGGAGGGGACATAATGGGTGGCAGCCTGTGCAGGGGTCCCTCTTTATCAGAATTAAGTTCACGGATGGCCTTCAGCTGAAGCCCTGGTCTACCCCAGTATAGTTCCGGTGACAGATTATCTTTTTCATGGAAGCCAAACGGGATGCTGTCAGATTTCTCTCTGGGTTATTGGAACCTGAGGGAGCACTGAGATAAAGAATCAGCGGGAACACTCAAGAGAAAGGTGGCTGGGACCGGCATCAGGATTTGTCGTTCTTTCTGGAATGGCCTCCACTCTGTCTTTCAGGGGGATACGACGGCTTGAATATCTTAAATTCAGTTGAGAAATATGACCCCCATACAGGACACTGGACTAACGTCACACCAATGGCCACCAAGCGCTCCGGTAAGACCTCAGATCTAAGGGAGGGGACAGTACCACTGTCACGTCTGCTTGTGTGGTGGAGGCACAGTCATGGGACAGCCAGTCAGCCAGGGCTGTTTCCTCCTCAATTCTACCTCAGTGACACACGATCAGATTCCTTTCTCCTCCTGCCTCTGTTCCTCTCATGTTGTGAGACAGCTTTTCAAAGGGCGTTTACGTCTGCGGGCAGAAGCATTCCTGTTCTGTTCACTTCTCCATCCCTGTCCCCTCCCTGCATTGTCACGTCTGGTAGTCTTGTGTTGAGCACACATTACGGGGATGAGTGCCGACAAAATCTAACCTAGACCCAGCTTCCAGGAGTGGAGCAGCTGGGCTCGGAGGCAGGAGACACTGTGCTGTTTGGACTCACTTCCTCTGTAAAAACTGCTCCAGAACCAAAGCCTCAGCCCCTTTCCTCCTTCCACCTCCTTTCCACTTCCTTCCTCTATGCTAATGGGAGGGTTGGGCTCTGAATTAATGACAGTGGAGGTGAGAACCATTTTGTGTGTTTTCTTTCTCATTTCAACTCCCACCAGCAGGTTCACAGATGGCATCCCCTGTGCTGACTGACTGTTTAATGCCTGCCTGGCTCTGGTGCACAGCCCTGAACTACCTGAGAACTCAGCCACCAGGGGCCACAGCTTCTTTCTGGAATTCAGAGCCTCAGTGCAGCAGCAGTAACTTGCTCTACCTTTTCCTCAGGTGCAGGAGTAGCCCTGCTGAATGACCATATTTATGTGGTGGGGGGATTCGATGGCACAGCTCACCTTTCTTCTGTCGAAGCGTACAACATCCGCACCGACTCCTGGACGGCTGTCACCTGCATGACCACCCCACGATGCTACGTGGGGGCCACGGTACTCCGGGGCAGACTTTATGCAATTGCAGGGTGAGGACTTCACACCAAGCTGGAGCCATCATGCATCAGGGCACCGTGATCCAATCCACACTGTTGGGTGGAGACAGGGTGTGGGTCAGGGGAGCTGTCTCCATGGCAACCTCAGTGTGGGAGCCCTTGCAGAGGAACAGAAAGCTCATTTCTCTCTTTGCCTCTTCCCTGCTCAGATACGATGGGAACTCTCTGCTGAGCAGCATCGAGTGCTATGACCCCATCATTGACAGCTGGGAAGTGGTGACATCCATGGGAACCCAGCGCTGTGATGCTGGCGTGTGTGTGCTCCGAGAGAAATGACCTGTTGGAGCACCATCCAGAGCTAGTGACCAGTCCAGGGGCCAGTTTGCAGGAGAATCAAGAATCGTGTCCAGAATGTCTGTTTCTCGCTGTGTGCTCAGGGCGATGACACGCACCGGTGCCATGACGATAGTCTATTTGACACACACTCCCCTCATGCTGATGCCTGTCCCTGAGTCGAGTGGTGACGGACGCTCACAGGAAGAGGGTGGATCTGAGTGGATGTGAGAGGCCAGTCACCTCTCCTGGTCTGGGCAGCCCTTTCTAGCCGTTTTTAACTACCGTGTGCTTAGGAGGATTTGTATACGTTTGGCCTCATGTGTTGCAATGTGAAGGTGAGTGTGAACTACTGGACGTGGGCAGGGTCCAGCCTGTGTCTGGGTTAGGATACCAACATGAGTCAGCGTGATGAACTCCAAGTCATGTTTTCCAGGAATAAATATCTTTCCTAGTCTGCAGGTAGCTAGTGGCAACAGTTCCACTCTGAAGGGAAACAAAGGGAAGCGCCCGGTCCCAGCCTTGGGCTTGGGAGACATCTGTGTGACACTCCCAGGTGGGGACGGAGCTGCTGTCAGAACTGGGCTTAATGAGTGGCCTGAACTCGATGAGTGAGCAAACCTAGGCCTCCACTGAAGTGTGACCTGGGAGACAGGAGGGTGGTCATTCGAAGGGTCTTCTGATACCCTGAGTCTCTCTGAACTACAGGAGGACTTACCTTGGCACTGGCGCCTGTGCCAGATACCAACACAGTAAAAATTGTCAGGTGGGTGGAGTGGAGTCAGTGTGGGACAAAGTAGAAGTACCTGTGATTTCTTAATCGTCGTACTCCTGCCGGGGCTCCCCTCCCACCCCGAGGTTCGCCTCCCGTGGGTGAGAGGTTTTTTTTGTTGAATCCAACACTACTGTGCTGTTACATTTTCATACTATTTATCTGGGGAGGGGTGCAGCTCCTTGGTGTCAGCCACCTTTAGGCAAACACTACGTTCTGTCTTCCTGCTGCCTGGTTCCGCACCTGTCCTTGAGAGTGACGTTCACCCCAGGACAGACAGAGGACAGCCAAAATTCCTGCGTCAGTGCAGTGCGTGCTCTCGCCACCATTTCTGAGCCGCCATTCAGGGCTCGCCTGTGTGACGGAGTGAAATCCTTGCTTTATGGGTTTGGGGAGTGTGGGAACGTGACAACCTAAACGAGACACTTTCTGTTTACTTTGAAATTCCATTTTTTCCTCTCCCTGAATTGAATTGAATTGAATTGACCTAAAGAGTTAATGTCCTTTGTATTTTTTTAAAAAATTAAAAATAAGCTGTCTCAAATGCCTGAAGAGAGTTTGTGGTGAACCAGCACCGCCTCAGATGTTTGGGAGACCTGGCGTAGGGAGCAGCTGTGGTCTCGAGTCTTCAACCTGTTCACCGTGTTTGCCAACTAGCTCCACTGTTTCTCTGTTAGACGCAGGTAAGAAAGTCTCACCAGGAAAATGTTTGAATTTGCTGTACTCATTGACTGCTCTCAACAAGTGTCCTGGAAACCCTAAAGAGAATCAAGAGGCTCATTTAGTACCCACTTGAATTTCGGAGTTTTAGTCACCCCAGCCCTCCTGTGGTTTTAGTTTATGACACATGATAGAAACAGCTATGCAGAAGTCCAGCAAAACTGCAAAAATATGGAGTCTCATACAACAGCCATGACCGGGTGTTCTGCAGAAGATGTGAATCACTGCTCCCTCCCCACGCCTCCCAATCCTACATAAGTCTTGCACACACACAGGTGCTGCTAACTTGGTGGTGCCTTCTGCTTTCCTCAGTCCCTGTACTCGTAGCCAGTCACCTGGTTACCCCCCCTCGGAAAGCTATCATTTATCTTGTGTGCACACCTTTGATTAGTTTCTGGGTCCTGCAAGGTTTTATCTTTAATTGTTCCAAGCCCATTTCTGTGTGTTTACTCCCTCATAGTGCAGGCCTTTATCTCGCCCAGACTCAGGACAGTGGCCTCCTGCTGTCCCTGTGTCTTCTCTGTCTTCCAGTCCAGCTCCTTCATTTGTCAGGTTAACTTTCCAAAGCACAGATGGGATCATTACAGTGCCTAACATAACAGCAAACTCAGGAAATGTCAAAGTAATTTCTGGTCTAAAATTCCATAGATTCTTGCTACCCACATAAAGTCCAAATTCCATACCATGGCATTAGACCTAGGTTACCCAGACCCACGCTGCAACCTGGTCTTTCCTCCCTTTATCCCCTCTTCCCACAGGCATCGGATCTGGAGGGGTTAGCATATTACAGGAGTGCTCAGTGCTGGGGGGGTGGCACATTACAGGAGTGCTCCCTGAGCGTGGAGTCCACAGAGAAGAGGAAATGCAGGTGGGTGGTGGGTAGACAGGTGGCCTGACCCAGTGCGCTCCCGGGTTCAGGACCCGATGGCTGTGGCTCTGGAACTGAGAACCTGGTGACAGCCATGCCTGGGCCTGCGCCCCCGGGGAGTCGCCGCTCACCCGGACCCCCGTCACTGCGCCCTTTTATCCTGGGGACGAGCGACGGCGCACAGGGAGGTGGCACCGATCCAGGCGCTCAGTTCTAACGCACGTCCATTCCGTGCGGTGAGTGGTCATTGGTTAGAACTGACCGGCCGGCCCTTAGCTCCCGCAGCAAAGGGGTGCGTGTCCCCGACGCAGCCTCCTGCAGAAGCCCCAGTCCCTTCTGTCGCCTCCAGGAACGTGCCCTCGCACTCCTGGCACTGAATTCAAATCTCAGGAAACGAGGGAGCTACGGTCAACCTCAAAGACTGAGCAGCAAGGGGACCGGCCCCGCGCGGGCACCGGTGCGGTCACAAAGCCGGCGGACGCCGCCGCTCGGGGCCGCGGGG